GCCGGGGCGGAGAGGAGCGTGCCGTACTGCAGACCGTGTGACAGCAGCACAGGGACGGCTCCATCTAATGTTAGATCTCCATGCATCCTTGGCACAGGAAGGCCAGAGGTCCCTGCAGGAGCAAGATCCTCTGCTTGGCCTCTCGGAGCTTCTTCCCCCGTGTCGAACTGCTTCTTGACCCTTTAACTCAGAAACTGTGCAACCCCAGCTTGTGGGGTGAGGTGAGGCTTTGGGATATCATCGGTGGTTCTCCCCTCTCCCTCTCCTGCTCACGTCGGTACCGGCTGGGCAGAGCCGCAGCAGCTTGTTCTCCCATGTACCTCACTCTGTCTCTGTCTTGGGCAGACACGACGAAATGTGCTTGGCTGCACCATCTGCGTTGTTACGCCTGGGCGCATTTTTTTGGCCTCCTTGGTGGTTAACAGAAATAGATTTTAATTAAAAGCTCATTATCGAGTTGTCGTGTAGCATTAGTAAATAAAAATAACTTTTACAGCCCTGTCTTGTGGCTCAGTAAGTGGCAATTAAAAGTATTTGACATCACTTTATTTTTTAAAAATGGAAGAATATTGCATATTTGATTCCCTGTTTGCTCCAAACGGGCTTTACAGCCAAATAAATGGTTGTCTGCAGCAATCCTTTTATCATTCAAGTCCAGAAGGGGAAATAAAGTATTTATACTTTATTTTTTTATTTATAATAAAGTATTACAGCCTCAAAGTTATCTCCATTTCAGTTGTGAACTGTTGGGTGTGGTTTGTTTGGACATCTCCTGGTGGGATGAGGAACAGATACCGCTTACCCTTTTATTGTTTTCCAGGTGGTTAGTGGAGGGATACTCTGCTCAGCCCCTGCCTTCTCCCTCCTGCCATCTCCCTCCCTGTTTCAGTGCATAGGTGTCACGTTCTCTTGTTAAAGCTTTCTTCTAAATGGAAATAACATCGCACCGTGGAAGCTGAGCGCTTCTTCCCAGGGCTTGGTCCCCTTTTCTGCGTGGTCTTTTAGACCATCGTGTCATCACAACAGGGGCTCTGGGCTCTCTTCTCACCTCTAGCACAGAACTAACACTCAATAAAATGATCTGCTAGGGTGAAAAGCCATTTTCTGCATTATTTAAGGGTAAATTGGTGCAGTAAAATATTTTATAGATGTTAGTAATTTCTTCAAGGTCATACTGTAACCCAATACCGTGCCTTCTGCAAAGCGGTCGCGTTGTACGGGGTATGGAAGGACCGCTGTGATGGGTTTGCTCTGGGAGGCAGTGTGCCTGGGCTGAGCTCGTGAGCGCTTCCTAAATCTCCTCCAGTCACTTGTTTGTGCCCTTGTTCCCCAGCCTGACCCCAGGGGCAGCTGAAGCTCCGGTGGTTTACGTTTGTGATGACAAGGAGGCGAGACCTCCGTCCCCAGACAGAGCCAGGTTCTGTCCCCTGGAGTTCGGGCACCTCCCTGTTGTTTGAGGAGAGCTGCTCACGTGAGGAACCTTAATCTTAAATGGTTTAAAAATGCCCTTTCCCCCCCACCACGTAGCTGGTGTAAATTCAGTTTGACATCACTGGAAGAAAAGCCTACATCACTGGAAGAAAAGCCTACATCACTGGAAGAAATCAGCCTACGCCAGTGGTTTGGGAAGCGCTTTTCTCCGTAGACACCGTGCTCACTCCCCAATGCATGGGGTGCTTGCACCCTCTTATGCCCTGGCATCCATTTTTTGTAGCTCTTGGCCTCCCTCCTTGCCACCCGACGGGATCTCATAACCTTTCTGCTTGTTTTTTGTGGCTGGTTTATCGACTCGTTAGCTAAGGAGCGGTTGTGAAACTTGACAGAAAGGTTGTGCACCAAAATAAATTGTCCAGTTGCCTGCTGGTTGGAAATGACTTTTGGTGCAGGTTAATAAATAATGCAAACCCTGTTAATAGATGCCAAATGCAATGTCTCTGCTGGAGGAAAAGATGATGCCAATAACCCGTACTGGAAGTACTCTATTCTAGCCACTGGCTGTTGAGTTTTAAGTATTTAGTGCTGTTTACTTAAAACGCTCTGCTGATAAATTGTAAGCGGTCTGTACTTGGTAAAGAACGTAAATTCCAACTCTGCAGAATAACAGCCTTGCAGCGCTTACCCTGTTTATAAAACAGCTTTGTCCACATATTCCTTTGACGACTCGCCGAGCCTGTCTACAACCCGTGGTGCGACCATGCTCGTGGGAGAATGCACAGTGACAAATGCAAGAGGTGAAGCCTGCGGCCGACCAAGGATGCTGAAGCGATGTGGTCGCATCCGGCTCCGTCCTGCGTGTCAAGTTAAGGTTATCATGATGTAGCTTTTTATTGGGAGATCGAGCTTTATTACAGCATCATGCCAGCCGCTCTGGCATATGGCTGAGAGGGGATTTTTTCTGCTCTAAGCATCTTTGTTTTGTTTTCAGGAGCTCATAATGGCTTGCAAAATTGTCTTTGTGCTTCAGGTGGCACTTTAGTGCAGAGCAGGGGAACGGCGTTGAGGGCGGAGGATGAGGAGCTACCAGCTCGTCCTGACTCTCCCGGCCCTCTGCCCGGCCTTGGACGGCAGCTCTCTTCATCCCCTCCTGCCTGGGTTGGTTTTTTTTTTGTGTTTTATGGCGAGGAAATATGGCAGTTAATGCTACCAACGCCTATCAAGTGAGGGTAAGGAGGGCTGAGGTCCTGAATGTCTGTAAACCAGTTGGAGTTCAGCTGTCAAAAGAAGCCACTTGAATGCAGATCATTATTTTAAGTACTGAGGTGTGGAATAAAATCATGTATGTTGAGATAAACGTGGCTGCTGTTCCATTTGTATATTTAATGAAGGTAATTCAGCACAGTCGGGGAGGATGTCTGTGCAATGTTACGGTTTGGAGCCTTTAGCACCGTGCAGGCAGGAATGTTAAATATATAGTTCAGCCATAACGTACGCGTGCAGTGATAGAGCGGTGGTGTAAAATCTAGCAGCAGAAGCAATCGCTTAAAATATTCCCGTCACCAAATTAAAATTGCTGGGCCGGGGCGGGGGGGGGAGAGAAACACGCAAAGCTCTTGCTTTAATGCTCACTGCTGGTCTTCGAAACTAACTGCCGGCTTGCTTTTGGGGAGGAAATCGTGCCAGCTGGCGCAGTGCGGCGAGTAAGGTTCGGGTGCCTGCATGAAACTCTGCCGGGGCGGTTTGATGGGGAAATCCCAGCTGGGGGAGCTCGGTGGTGTTGCGGTCCGCAGCGCGGCTGCAGCTTCAGAATGCCGATCCCACAGGATGCGGAGTGATGTCTGGAGAGGAGATGCTCCCGTCGGCAGCACGCGAGAGCCTGTGGGAGCCTGTCCTGGGAAAGGCTTGGTGCAGGGCTGCGTGCGTGCCGGCACCGATCGCCCTCTAAAGCAATAGGCTGAGATGCGGTCTTTGCAGAAAGGGAAAAAAATCTGATCATGCTTTATGCAAAGCAGTTTAATGCTAGTTAAGAAATAGCCCTTTGATGGCAGCCGGTTTTTATGTGCCTACGGAAATGGTACAAAATAGCTGTTTAAATGTGTCTCGCTCTGTTTTGTCTGAACCCTCGAATTAACCTCCCTCTTAAAATAATAGTCAGGAAAAGATCTTCCGCAATCTGAGCCATCCTGTGCCGAGCTGGAGCTCACCGTGGGGACTGGAAGCTAGCTAAATGTGTGAAATTAGAGTTTTATAATTACAACACTGCAAAACTTGCTCCTCCTGGTGTTTTTGACCTCGAGGTGTTGACGGCGCTTGATATGAATTGCGGCGAGGCTGTGGCGAGCCGTCCGGGGGTGGTGTTTTTTGGAGGGTAGCGTCGGCTTTATTCTATTCCGGGACTGTCGGCATGTGTGTGCGTGTGCCCTGGGAGAGGGGAAGAAATAACGATATACTCATTTAATCAAAGCCAGCGGAACAGCAATCAGCTTGTCCTCAACGGCTTCGCCCACAAGGCGGCAGTGGGTGACAGCGGGAGCGGCACGGCGCCCGCCCCAGCGGTCCCTGCCATGCCTGAGCATTAATATTGATGCTGTCCAGGTGGCATCAAGATTGAGTTGTAGTGGCAAGAGAATGTGCCGAGATCCTTTTGCCCTAGGGCTTTAGAGTAATGGCCATATGTCTCAGTCCAGCAATTGTTTGCACCGTGCAGATGGAAAACCAAAGTGGCTTTGGCATATTAGATTCATCTGTTTTATGTTCCTCTTCACCTTTCTGCCTCCCGATGCCTTCTGTTTTTATCAGAAAACTTCAGTAACAACATAGATGCGGCTGCTCGATTGCTCGAAGGACACGGTCTTTGAGCAGGACCAATTTTCTCCGCTCCTGAGCTGCTTTTGTCACAAAAATTTTCAGCAGAAAATGGAGTTTGACTCTGTCAAAATGTGCTCCAAGAGAACCGCTGACTTCAGTGATCATTTCTGTTTTTCTGAGCTCTTTTTCTCTTTCACCTGTGTGGGGTCGGTAGCTCTGGACGAACGCGCTTCGTACGTAGATCGTTTCACTTCTGATCTTCAGGAGCGTGTTGTGGCCTTGTCTGTGAAACCCTATTGCTGATACTGGAGTTTGTGCAGGGCTTCCTGGGGCTATATAGAGACATTAAAGCCGCTAAGGGCTTATCACAGTTAAGAGTGATTTTTATTTCTTGCTGGAGCCAGGCTACTCATGCTGCACCACGTCTCAAAAGGAACGTAAGCGAACCCTTCAGGTCCCCTGTTGAATGTCAGTGGATCGCCAGAGGAAGAAACAGGGAGCTTTACAGTGTCATTTTTGGGAGGGGGGGAAATCACATCTGAGTTTCCTACTGAGGGAAGAGCTAGTGATCCGCAGATGAGATCAGGTGGAAGGATAAAAAGTATGCTTCGTTAGGATGTTTTCTTATCTATACCAGATGCCTTCTCTACCCTCTCAAAGACCTTGTGGGGTGAAAAAAGAGTGGATTTGGTTGAACAGAGGTGAAGTTCTGAAATCCACCTTTGTAACTCTGCTTCCCATTTGCTTTCCTGCAGGTGAAGTGGAAAGGGAAGGACCTGTTCGATCTAGTATGCAGGACACTAGGACTCCGAGAAACCTGGTTCTTCGGGCTTCAGTACACTATCAAGGATACGGTGGCTTGGCTCAAAATGGACAAGAAGGTTGGAACCAAATTTCCCTTGAGAGTTCGTGTGGGATGACGAAGGAGAACGTACTTTCCTCTCTCTTTGAATGCCCAAGGCTGTGTTATGTGTGGTATCGATGTGAACTGGGTGAAGTGTATTTAAATCTCATCCCCGTGGCATCTGAGAGTCAAACCAGGGCGAGCTGGCAGAGGTACCCCACCCCAGCTCCTTTGGAGCTGTGAAGCCTCAGACTGTGCACACTGAATCGCCTTGAGGCATTTTGGGAGACGGCCGTGCTGGGATGCTGGGCCTCCTGGTGACTGTAATATAAATGAAATCCAAAAGTCTCTCTTCTATGCCCTGAATGACAAAACCTTTAGGGGAAAAGTGAAGTTGCATCTTGGCTTCTTTGGTTGTTGAGATGTACAAAGAGCTTGGGAGGAGGAAATCCAGAGGAGTGAAAAGGAGGTGGAGATAAGGGAGGAAACGCTTCCCAAATACGCGAGCCTCCAGGTTGCTGAGGGGTGGGTTAGAGAAGATGTGGTACTGTTTGCATCCAAAGAATGTTACGCTAAAACCAGACAGTCATCGAGACTGTGAGGGAGGTCTGGGTGTCTCGCGTGTTCTGCCAAGGTTTTCAGCTAATGTGACTCTGAACTGGACAGTGCCAGCGCAATAGGAAGGTAGCAAGGAAGAACGCTGAAATACAAGAGGAGGCAGCGCAGGGAAACAACAAGAAAGTCAGATGGTGGCGTAGCAGGATATAGTGTCACTCTGCGAGGTTTGGAAGAGGCGATGTGCACAGAGCAGATCGGGATCAACCTTTGCTGTCTCATTTTGCATGCTGTTTGTTTCTGCCTTCTTTGTTTTCTTGCATGCTTATGAATGTCAGAAGTATTTGTTTGTTTTCTTTTTTTAACTGCGGTTTCTGAACTACTTAGGTTGGTTTGTCTGTTCTAGATGTCTAAAATGCTTGACAAAAGATGCGCTGATCTGAACAGAAGGAAACTGTGTCTTGGCTCCAAGAGACAGAGTGCTAAAGAGGCTGGAAGGAGTAGCTGAATGGCTCTTGTATCCCACAGGTTCTGGATCATGATGTTCCAACAGAAGAGCCTGTCACCTTTCACTTTCTGGCCAAATTTTATCCTGAGAACGCAGAGGAGGAACTGGTCCAGGAAATCACACAGCACTTGTTCTTCCTGCAGGTAGGAGCCGTGTCAGTACACTGGTTTCCAACCCGAGGGAGAAAGAGCCAGGATGAGAAGGTTCCAGGGTCAGAAAGTTGGTCAGCGGAGTGTGGATCCTCATCGTTATGTTCACACTTCCCCGAAGGGAGTTGTCTTCAACAACAAAAACTTCTTAAAATAGGTCAAAGATGGTTTGTCTGGACGAGGCAGTCACAGATGTCCAGACTTGCAGATCTCGTAAACTGGCTGTCAGGATTGATTAGGTGATTTGTAATATTAGCGTGTGGTAGCTAGGGAAAACGAATCTGTCAGATGTGGGCTTGAATGACACATACAGCCTTGGAGTCCACCTCTCTGCAGGGTGTGGATATCACTTGTGCTGAGGGATGGCAGTTGCCTTTGTACGCGATAGCATCACTGTGTGAAGCAGGGGAATTTCATCCTCGAGAAGAGAATGCAGCCAACCTGTTTCGTGTTCAGGCTGTACAGCGAGGTTCACCTCTTCGCAAAACAGCCTTCAAATAACTGGAGCAGAAGAAAATCCTAGAAGCACAGCTCTGTCAGAGGCTGATGGCAAAAGCAGAGGAGGAGGGGAAACCTAATGGTCCCATCTGCCCCAGTAACTCTTGCCCTTAAGATTTCTGAAACTGTGGTGAACACATCTTGAGGCTTTTTTCTTTTAAGTATGCTTCAAAACTTTGTGTCCTGAGAAATCAGCTCAGCTGATGTTGCTGTAGCAGTGCTGCATGGCTGGTAACGAAGAGCTTCTACCACGGAGCTTCTCTCTCTTTCAGACAAGTTCAATTTTCTGAAACTGTTTCCTATAAAGGGTTGTGCCAACTACTGTTACAGGGAGCAGAGTAGTCCTAGTCAGCCCCCCAGGTACTTACTGGGATGTCTCAGCTGCTGTGTGGCTGTTAATTTGGTGTGTCTAAAATAAATAAATGATAAAAATAAAAAAAAGACACTCATTCTTATGTTTGTTACGCTAAAGTAGTGGCAACCTGGATTTGGATGCCCTTGAAAATACCACCTTAGGCTTCAGTGTGCCCTGCCCCTTCAAATAGATATCGAAGTGCGCTCACCAGCTTCTTGGCACTCCTCGCTCTTCCCAAGTTCATCTTTGTTCTTCAGAGCTAAAGGGCTTCTAAATGCAAAGAATTGCTGTTCATTTCCAGGGTCTGTCTTGTGCGCTAGTGTCTCCTTAGGGCTATTTTTAAATGTCCGATTTGCCACGGGCTTTATCCTTAATGAGGAAGAATGCTGTTGGCATCTTTGAAAAAGAAGATCGGGGAGGGAGAGCAGTTAAAGCTGCATGTTGTAAAGGCAGACCGTGACTTTCCTACTAGGATTTCTGATGATGAGAGGAGCCTGGGCTCCTGTAATGCTTATGGGAAATGGGAACACACATAAGCTTGCAAACTCTACTGTTTTCATCTTGGTGCAGGAGAATATCTTCTGTGATTACATTGTAACCAACTTTGAGGACTCAAAGCACGTTATAAATTCAAATTGATGTTACTGCATCTCTGTGACAATCCATTTAACTCTCCCAGGATACAGTATGCTTTTTTTCCCTCCCTTTATTCAGGAAAATTAAGTGTGCAAAACCAAAAAATATCGAACATGACAGGTTTAATTTTTTAATGCACAGAAGCCAGGAAACCTAAAGCCGTGGCTTTTGGGAGCTGCACGTTGGCTCTCCTGGGAGTGTGTGCAGGGCTTTGCCTGCTGCTAAAAGCACTGCCATGGAGGTGACCCGCAGCTCTCCTTGTTGTCACTGGCGTTGGAGGAACTGGCCTCGAGCACAGGTGAGCGCTGACTCATAAGGAGGCCTGAATATCCCAGAGCAAAACCTTTGTGTGCTCAGAGACTCGGCTGCAAACTTCTTTTTTAATTTAGCGTTGTGTATAGATGTGGTATCAGTCCATAGCTTATGCCTTAAGAGGTTTTATCTCTGTGTTTACACACAAGACTTTTCCCCCCTCCCGCCTTGCCTTTAGCAGTGGGATATGGGTTCTGTCATTTTCCACATATAAATTTAGCTCTTTTTGCAAACCTCTCTGAAAAAGGTGGCCTGTGAAAGCCTGAGCCCTTCCCTTCCGAGCCACCAGAGACTTCCTGGGCCTGAATTGTAATTAGTGGTAAGAAAATTGTTAACTGTGTGGTTGACAGCTCGAGTTAAAACAACCTGCAGCCATCTGCTGTGACAGTCATGCTTTGCACTTCTCCACTAAAAGTGTGTTACGTGTCCTTTGCTGCTACGTGCAGGTGAAGAAGCAGATTTTGGATGAGAAGATCTACTGTCCTCCTGAGGCTTCGGTCCTGCTGGCCTCTTACGCCGTCCAAGCCAAGGTAGGCACAGGGGGGTTTTCCAGGGGCCTGCTGACATCGGCAGGGGGTTAACATCGCTCCTGGGAAGTGAGGCACTTTGCCATATTACCCGCTTCCCGAGGAAGCGGAAGGCAAGGAAACTTGGTAGACTATGGAAGCAATAGTGCCTTCTCCGCACTGCTGGTTCCTGGCTGCCTTCAGACACTGGACAGATTTTTGCTTTCTCTTTCCAGAACTCTGTAGCTTATGAGCTGCAGTGCCTGCTCAAGTGTGGCTTACTACTGGGGCAGGTGAATTCCCCGAGCCTGTGCTTTTTTGGATCTCTTCCCTGCTCTTGCCGTTGTAGCCAGAGGCAAACCAACCATGGGACTCACAGCTCTGCTGCTTCCCTGGAATACTTGTCATCATGATAACTACTTTATTTTGAGTGCTACAGCTTGCCACGTAAATGTTATTGCAGCATTAAAGGGCTCTTCCTGGCTTCTCCCTTTATCTTGGGTTTGATCTTGGGTGTTTGGCCTCACTAGACAGAGGGAAAACTCAACGGTCATCAAGTTCCCCTCATTCTTCAGCTGAATTCTTCTGCTCTGGAGCCAGAGTCAATGTGTTTTGCTGAGGACTTAAGAGAACACTGTTTTCCAGTCTGGAGCACGCAGTCTTGGACAGCTTGCAGCAGCCCACAGCAGAGGCGCTCCTGGGATAGAGGGAGCAGCTCGAGGTTCAGAAGTGGGGATGTTCTTGCAGGAGAGGAAGTAATTTATCCCTGTATACGCGTAACATGTACTGCTGCTCAATTAACGAGTCTTCTAGCTAATCTCCGGTTTATGTGCATAAAGATAATGTCTTTGGAAAAGAGGAGGAGTGACGAGTCCGGTCGCAGCCCAGCTGCGATACCGCTGTAGACTCGTGGTCATAGTCAGTTCTGACTCTCCGGAGGCGATTTAGGGAGGGCGTTTTGGCTGGCAGGACTGCAGGTGGGCGGCTGTGCCCTGGGTCTGGCCTGTCTGCCTGTCCTTGAGGAGCACGACTGTCAGGCAGTTTCGGAAGAAGCAGGGTAGCTCTCTGGTCTGTGAGTCCACCTTAGCTGACAGCGCACGACTAGGGATTTGGCTCTGTTGCCTGAAGAGAGGGTCTGATCCAAGCTGGCAGGAAACACAGTCCAGTCCTTGGTGTTTCACTTGGCTTTTTCCATGGCTTGCCGTATCATCTTCCTTATAACCCTTTAGTCCATGCCTGGTTTGCCTGAACACAGCCCTGGGTGACGTGCAACGGTGTTCTTTGACGATGAATATTTGAATTTACTAGAAAAAGGTATTTTCTCCTCATAGTCAGAATATTGATGACACCATATTTTGTTGGAGAGACTCATCAGGGAGGGAAAGAAGAGTTGCTTTTAGAAATGTTTCTATTTGTGTGAAATATTCATTGCTCTTACTAGAGTGCAGGAGTAAACACTTGCTTGGCTTTTTCTCCGTTGACCTGCAGAGCCGAGGATACATAGGGGATGACTTTTCCTGTTGCCAAAATGAATAAACCATTGGGTAAATATTGAGCGCTGTTAAATCTTGGCCGTGACAGCTTCTGCTCGCGCGCTTGGGAATAGGCTGTAATTCGGGACAGGACTGGTGTGCCGTCCCCTTCCTCTTCTTGCAGCACGGCTGCTGACCTTGCGCTCAGTAGGACGCTCGCCGTGCTTGATGCTCGGTCATCTGGAGGAGGTTGGCCGGAGTCAGAGCAGTTTTCTTAACCTTGCACGTCTTGATTCTGCACAGAGACTGTGAGAAGGTGGAAGAGGGATGCTTTTTCTGATCTTTGCTAATGTGCTTTCATGTCTGGCTCAGACATCGCTTTTCCTCCCTGCCCCTCCAGGCTGGGTTTCCCCTTCTGCTTTTTTTTTCAGCCAAGGAGAAAGCTGAAAGCATGTCTTAGTCTTCGGAGCTGGTGAGAAAGATGCTGCAGGTCATCTCCTTCCAGTTAAATAGGATAATGATGTCCTTTGTGGACAAGAAAGCGGCCACTGAGCACAGTAATTTCACTAATAACGCGCTGATTTGCATGATTAGGGGCATAATAGCCTGACATAGTGGTGTGTTTGCAGCCATTTGATTGACAGCCAGGTTGGCTTGTACTGTTGTTGCACACCTACCTGCAATAACAAAGTGAGCGTGCGGGTCATAAAAATAAAATCTTATTTATTTCTATATCGTTGTGTTCATTCAGGGAATTACCATGTATTTTCCCCTCTAGCTCTGCATTCAAACCACCCACACTGCTTTCAGATGTTGGAGGTGGTTCAGGTTTTAGGTAGCTGGGAGAGACACAGAATCAGCTGAAAAACGCGTCCCAGCAGAAAATGGTAATGTCCAGGAGGTTCTTCCACTTCTTGCCCCTTAAATGCAGATCGCTGCCTTGCTGCAGCCCTCTCAGCACTTCAAATCTTGTAGCACTAGCAAAGGGCTCTCTTATTTTTGTTTTTTTTTTTCCCCCCAAACAAACAATACTTGGTGTTAATAGCTTGAAGCTGAACGGGCCTGTGTTAATCCAGATGTAAGATTAAGATTAAGACGATGTAAGACAGGTGTATGAATGAGGTAAAGGCAACTTCCATCTGTAACCATGAATATTAATCATACAGTTCAGTTAACAGGAGCTGAAATTCCATGACAGTTTTGAAGTAATGATTTAATTGAAAAGGTCTTTAAAAGTATGTTTGCCAAATCATTTGAGCCGACATATACTGCAATACTTAAGCCATTTGTTGATTTTTGACTTGTGAATAATTAATGTTCTCATCCAGACTCCCTCTCTGTACAAATATTCCTTTGGGATGTGGCAATATTTTTCACCACAGGAAAATCGCATAATCCATACTTAGTCTTGGATCTCCACGGTAGATCATAACAAAAAGTAATCGCCATAATCCCATTTGCTATTATTTTCATCACTTAAAAATGATTTATTTTCTGCCTCTCCAAGGTTATTGGAGTTGTTTCCTTTGCCAGTGCCATGTTTTTATTGCTGTTCCCTTTTGATGTGGGTTTGAGGGACGTGTACCTGCAATGCGCTGCTTTCTGAGGAGCTCCAAGCATCTGTAGACCTTGGAAGACAGACAATTGGCGCTGCTCAGCACCCTCCTGAATGAAATCCGCGGCAGTTTTGTTCTATTAATTGAAGTCTGAGTCAGTGTTGATTGTGGCGTGCTTCCTTCGCATCTGCGTTGGCTCCAAATCAATATTTGCATCTTTAATCCCGGCTTGTCGTCTGTGAAACGTTGCTCGCCGGGCTGCGGAGAGGATGTATGTGTAGGTTTTTGGTGCTGAGCTCTGGTTTTAGTGTACAACGTGCTGGTTCTGTCATTAAAAAGAGGCCGATATGGAAGGCTTCCTGACTTCTTACACGACCACCATGCGTGCCTTGGTCTGGCTGTAAAAATTGTCACCGTTTTGTACTTTCTGAGCTGAGGTCCTTCAGGACAGGGAGGGAAGGGCTGTCTCCCTTGCAAAATGAGTGACTTGAGCAAACGTTGCTGTGTCTTGTGTAATTGGGCAATGTCACTGCAGAAGTCCTGTTTGCCAGGTGAATGAAAATCGCAGCATTTCATGTACGTGCCTCACATCCATCGTCCTCTTGAACTCGCTAGGTTATTTGAGGCGCTCTTTTCTGGCAGATTCCTGCCCTCTTAAGCTGTACAGGAGGTAAATTCATTTTCACATACACTGCAGGGACACTCGGCTTTTCAATCTGTTAATAACCAGTTTTATTTCTCAGTCACTTTATATGCTGCTCAAAAAGATGTAAATCTAAACAAATACTAGTAATTACTGGATGCACTTAACAAATCTGAATTGGATTCTGTGACCAGGTTGAGCAACAGACCTTCTGGCAGAAAAGCTGACACCTGCCTGAGAGGAGCCTGTCAAACTCCTGTAATCTCTCTTAATATTTGTTCATTAGAGTGGTGAGCAGCGACAGAGGAACCACCATCTGCCTCACCCAAATTACTGGTCTCGATCAGTCTTTGGGGACAGGTCTTTGTCCATACCTTGACTCCCTGTCCTACTCCTGGTGGGAGGGCAAGGACCTCTCAGCTGTAGAGGGAGTCTTCCCCTGCGTTGGAGGAAGTGTTTTCTGGGCATGGTAGTTGGAGTAGAGCAGAACAGTTCAGATGGAAAGGGGCCTACAACGATCATCTAGTCCAACCGGTGGACATCAGCTTATGGTGGGAAGTTTTGTTCTGCTTCCACCTCTGCTGCCTGAGCAGGAGGAGGATATTAGTTTCTATTAGCAATCAAATGACAAGGAAAACACAGTTATTAAATCTCCCGAGCAGCATATGTTCTCTGCTCTAACCGGTTGTGAGGTGAAGGGTGTAAGCATTCCGCATTTGCTCTCTCCCCAGGGGGTGGATGCGTAAGGGTGAAGAGTTTTACTTGCCCGTGTTGTTAACGGGGAGTGGGCGCGATGTCTGTGCTTCTTTCCAGTACGGCGATTACGATCCCAACGTCCACAAGCGAGGCTTCTTGGCGCAAGAAGAGTTGCTTCCGAAGCGGGTAAGGAGCTCGGCCGAGCGGAGGAGTAGGTTCCTCAGCGTGGTGGTGTTTTGGGGAACGGAGCCCTTTGCAGAGAAGGTCTCTGTGGGACTGCCTGCAGGGTGCACCCTGCTTCCCATCCCTTGGGCTTCCTTACCGGGGCAAACGATCCAAAGAAGATGTATTGAGGGAGGAGAATTCAGTCTTTTTCTGACATATTTTAATAAAACTTGAAGCAAATGTTTTCTTTCGTTTCACTGTTTCATCCTGCCTGCATCTCCTTGCGACAGCCTGGCAACAGTTTGCCTGTGCCGCGTGCTCGGGCGTGTTGAGCGAGCGCTGGGCGATCGCAGGGCGCGGGGCGGAGCGTGCCCTGCTGCGAGTCGCCTGTCTTTGAGTCGGACGTGGTGCTGGGGAGGGGTTGCTTGAGGCTTGGGTGTTTCTGCCTTGCTTGCTGGCTAAGGAGACTGCAACAAGAGCAGCAGTGTGACCTGGTCTCTGTCTCCCCACGTATCTCAGGTAATAAACCTGTATCAGATGACTCCAGAGATGTGGGAGGAAAGGATAACAGCCTGGTATGCAGAGCACCGAGGCAGAGCAAGGTGAGTGTGTGCTGCAGCGGAGCGTCAGGCTCAGTCCCCTCACCTGAAGAGCCAGCAGGGTTTGGGGGGCTTGGGCCGGTGGATGAGCTCTGCTGACAGCAGCGTTAATCCCAGCGCACCTCCTTAGCAGGCTCGCGGAGTGCAAAGGGTTTTGTTTGATGGCTCTGCGGGTGCCCTGCTGTCCCCTCGTCACTGACGGCGTCCTCGAGAGGATTCAGGACTGATGCTCACTAAGGGACCTCCTGCAGAGGGTCAGGGAGGCAGGCAGCCCTGCCTGCCTAGGGGGTCAGGGTGCTTTTTGGGCCAGGAAAAGAAATGGGGATTCAGGCTGATGAGGTGTGTCGCTGCCTCGAGTGGTAAAATGCTCCTTGTTAGGTGATAAGCCTAAAGTCAGGTGGATCTGAAACGGGGCTCTCCCAGCCAGGGGTTTCCTATTTGTGCTTAAGGGACTGGGGGATGGACAAAGCAAGGCTTGAAGTGCTGCCTCTCGCTGGGCAGGCGTCAGCAGCCCTTAAGATGCTGGCAAGCTGTGGAGTGGGATTTGCTGTTGGACTTTATTGATCCTGACAGCAAAGACAGGCTTGACCTGAGCGACAGAGACAGTCCAGGCTTTAAAGCCTTGTGAGTGCTTAGGATCAGAAAGAGCAGCCATCCCCCTCTCTCTGATCCTGCCAAACGTCGTCACACTGGCCTTTTTTTGTCTGACAGAGATGAAGCTGAAATGGAGTATTTGAAGATAGCTCAGGACTTGGAGATGTATGGAGTGAACTATTTTGCGATTAGGGTGAGTGCAGGTTGTGGGTCATGTTTTCTTGCTGGCGTAGCTCTTGTGTTAGTCGTTTCTGTTGCTGTGAGATTGGATGAGTGGAGCTTTTGGAGAGCCAGCAGACCTGGGAGATGGCTGCGGTGCGTTGGCGAGGGCCCCTGCTGCGGCGTGCTTCGCGGCTAGCTGCCGGGGAGGCAGAAGCTCTTTTAATATGCGGTGCTGGTGGGTCATCGCGCAGGGCTGGTTGATGAAGCTAAGAACGGCTGGCTCGTGTCAGACCCTCCGAGTGGAGTAAAAGGGTTTTCTGCTCTTTTCTTTCCTCCCGTAGAATAAAAAGGGCACTGAACTGCTCCTTGGAGTTGACGCCTTGGGTCTTCACATTTATGACCCAGACAATAGGTTGACCCCTAAAATCTCCTTTCCGTGGAACGAGATCCGGAATATCTCATACAGCGATAAAGAGGTATGGATACATCTCCCCTCTTCCCTGAGAGCAGTAAGGACACAACTGCAATTTAAAATGATTTCTCTCAGCTCCTCTGTCAGCTGCGCTTGCTATCACCAGCTTAGCTAAGGGTAGCTCAGCTTCTCCAGCTGAAACCTTAATTCCAGGACTTTCTGAAGCCTTCCAGGAGTGGGCGTACGAGAGGTCAGCTGGGAGCTATTCATTCTGTTTGGTTCTAGGGTATGTTCAAATCCACTACATAACTTTTTTCAAAAACCAAAATTGCTGTTGATGCGCTTAGCCCTAATATCAAAGTTCAGAAGTTGAGATCTCTGCTTTACTGTAGGTATTACAGTATATATTACTGTGGATGTATACTGTATTATGAAATACAGTGAGACGTATTCCTGGCGAGAAGAGCTCTTGCCATATCATTACATCATCTTGAGTTTTCAGGCTGCCGGGCTTGGCATAACAGCTGGAATCTTTTTAGGAAGTTGAGTAATTGGAGAGATATTTATTAAATACAGACCATAAATATGGATCTTCTGAATCATTGGCCACCAAACCTAGTTGAGAATAGCAGTGAAATTGGCTGTGGAGGGGAAACCGATCTACTCAATTTTCAGTCTGAGAGAGCTGCTCAAAGGAAACCAGCTGCCTTCATGGTAAGGAAGAAAATTAACTTCTTAATTAAAAATTGTTTCCTAATCTAATCATGGTATTGATCAGAGTAAAAGCTAAAGGTTTCTCATCAGCTGCATTTGTTGCATGTCTTGTGAAGTTTTATATTTAGTAAGGCTGTGCTGGAGTTCTCTTGCTGTGCTGGAGTTCTCTTCACTTGTTTCACTCCTTAAAAATAAAGAGCTTCACAACTCTGCAAAACCACAAGTAGACCTGATGTGATAGTAAACAGGCTTAATAGCTGGCTACAACAGCTACGTCGACACAACAGAGGGGTTTAATCCATCGTAACAAAGATTGACCGTTTATGTGGAACTGAAATTCCTCTCCTGGCGTACTTCTGCTGTTGCTTTCAGTGACTGGTGTGGGTTCTGCTGGAGCCCAAGTCCAGGGACATTCATGCACGTCTGCCTGTGTGAAAATCTTAAAAGATTGGCTCTTAAACTGACAAAACAAAACACTGCCCGGGCGCGTTCGGCTGAGCCCTTTTCAGGCAGTACAATGTATTGACAAATAGACCTACTTTAATGGACACAGACTGCCTGCTCGAGCGCTGTCTCTTCAGCCGGTTATTTTCGTAGCGTGTGGGGGAGTGATGGAATATATGCATGCCTTCCGAAAAATGCAGTGTTGTGGCGCGCTCCATCTCTTCCGGTCTCCTTTTCTTAGTTCAGGGTCTTCTGTCTATCCAGGGTCTGTATTACCGAAACTTTTGAGCCTGGCAATGTCACCTACATCCCCTGGAGAGACCCGCTGTGGGAAAGCTCTTCGAAGAGGGCTGTTCGCTTGGCACGTGGAGTGTAAATACAAGTTAGAGTGAGGGAATAATATTTTGAATTGCGGAGCAGTCTTGTGACACGGCTGACTTCTGGAGAACAAAATGCATGGAAAAATCCCTTTGGGGAGCCCTTGCGAGTAGAGGTGTCAACGGGAAGGGTAGCAGCTTCTGTTTCTGTGGTCGTAATGCAACTCTCCTGCCCGTCCATTAGGCAGCGGAGCTGGTTCTTCCTCCTTTCAGAAGTCTTGGGAGTTTTTGCTGTACCTTCTCTGCTCTCTACAGCTGCCAGGAGAGCAGCATCTTGCCTTTCCTCGGGAGGTGCTGAGCTGTCTCTGGCCTCTGCAGGGTGCTCTGCAGAGGACACAGGCTGTCGGGCATCGCAGTCTGTAGGTGGACAGCACTCTCATTGCTTCTGTGTGGCACTCGCGTTTTTCTGACCGGAGGGACGCTTGTCTCCTTGGTTCTTTTTGATACTAGTTCTCTTGCTTGGCTAAAAGCCACGGGGACAGCTCTCAGCCTTGTTTGTCTGACACTGCTGACCTCCTCTGAGCCAAAGCTTTCAGTAAGGCTTTTATAGCTGTGTTTTTATTAAATGCGCTGCTCTCTGATAACTCTCTCCCTCTTTATTTTTTCCTTTTCAGTTTACGATTAAGCCATTGGACAAAAAGATTGATGTTTTTAAATTCAATTCATCAAAGCTGCGTGTGAATAAGCTGGTAAGTCTACAGACAGAGTAATTTTTATTGCCTGCGGCAGTAGTTTCTGCCGGCAGTACGAGACAATGTTCTTTTGGGGCTTTTCCTTTGAGCAGTCGGACGGAGCGTGCTGGCCTGGTTGGACTGTAGATGTCATTTGGTATAGCAGTTCCTACTCAGCCATAGCCTCTAGAAGAGAAGGGGGAAGCTCAAGTCAAGCTCCTTCACAGAACCTCTTCCCCCTCTCCTGTTTTTCTGCTCCCTTTCTGAGCTCTCAGGTTACAGCTGACCTGCATGGTGGAAGCACTTAGTAAGTAAAACTTTCTCATCATCCCCATCTTTGCTCCAGACCCCCTTTCTTCTCCTGCAGTTCTGTTCTATTCTGCCCTGTGACGTAGATCTCCCTGTTTTGGGATGCACCGTTATCAGAGCCGCAGTCCAGGCTTTTTCCTAGGCTGATCCCCTGTGAGGACACTCTCCTTGTACAAGGATGGAGGGGACTACGTTGAGCTGTTCTGTTCAGCCTCCACGTTAGAGACCAGCTTTAGCTAGTGTTCTGGGTTTGGTATCTGGAGGAGCTTTGGTCCAGGTTCTCTAGTAGCTGTGCACCGTGTTAAGTCACACGAGGGACCTGCAGAGGGGGATATTTTTTCCATCTTTAGAGGGAGGGGATCCTTGCTGTCCTGGTTATAGGCCGCCCTGTACTTCACGTAGGGAAGCGGGGCTTCCCAACAAAGGTCTCATTCACTGCACTCGTCAGATTCATAGTGCTGTAGCTCCTCTGACTCCAGAGAAGTCATTCATCACGTGTGAAATGGAAGACGGGCATGTGAATCGGTCCTTTAGAAAAAAATCTGAGTTTAGAGACCCGCTTTTATTGCTGAAAAGAGCTTTCCCTCTTCTGTGTACCCACCGCTTTGCTAACCCTCCTCTAGTATTGTCACCTTCCTTGTCCTCCTTGAGTACCAGAGGAAACCACGTTGGTGCTCTCAAACCCATCTGGAAAGGTATCTGAAGATGTCCAAGGAAGTTTTTGATAAGCCTTCTGTTTGTTCAAGGTGGAAAGTGGTTTTTCTTCCTTTTTTTTTTTTTTCCCCTTAAATCTCAATGCTTTAGACATGCAGTTGGGAGAAGGTGCAAATTCATCTTGAACCTAAAAATTAGGAAAAGGGGGCAGTAAGAACAGGGAACTGGTCAGAGCTGTGGAAATCTTTGGTTTTTTTCTTTGGCCTAATGCCTTTTTAGGGTTGGTATAAAACTTGCCAGAACCATGCTGTGCTGGATGCACAGAAAATAGAAAATTGGTCTCTGCAAAGAGCTGGTAGCCCAGGAGCTGATGTTTGGTAATGGGTCTTGGCTGTGCCCTGGCCTTGGCTCCCTGCCCCTCTTATGGGTATGAGAGCTCGTAGGGTTTGAGATCAGTGCGTGGAAGTGCTTACAAGCACCAAACCAAAGCAGTTCTAGTATTTTTCCGTGTTGAAAATACAAACTACCTCATCGTCATCATGTGTACAGCTGTTTCTCTCCGCTCTTCACCCTTGACGGGAATAGATTCTTCAGCTGTGTATTGGAAACCATGACCTCTTCATGAGGAGGAGAAAGGCAGACTCATTGGAGGTCCAGCAGATGAAGGCACAGGCCAGGGAGGAGAAAGCCAGGAAGCAGGTGAGACACATCTCGTATAACTAAACTGTGAGCCAAAATCAGAAATGCAAATGAACTTGGGAAGGAACAGTCTCCAGAATGACATCAAGCGCACGGAGCAGCTTTGAGGGATGGTCCAGCTGAACATCTCTTTTTAGTAGCCTGTTCTCACCTCGACAGTCATTCTCAAGTTGGCTCTGCAGGTTGATGGCAGCCTGGCAGCCCAAGTCCAGCCCCCGTACTTGGGAACAAAACCAGGAGGGTGGGAGAGAAGAGCTGCTCCGGGTGTCCTACAAGTGGGTGTGCATCTTCCCCGCCTCATTTTATGCCTGGGCTCCGTAGCTGGAAAGATGTGTTGGGCTAGTTGCTTGTAATTAAAGCAGGGGCTGTGAGGGGGAGCTGTGCTCTGCTGTAGTTCTTTGCCTCTTTTTCTAATTACATGGTGATGGAATGCACGCCAACATTTCAGGGCGTGCAGCCTGCATGCTAATTTGGTGCTGGCCTCCTTTATCTGCTGCAGGTCAGCCCAGGCGGGGAAAATGGCTCTTCGGAGGCAGCAGTGTGTAGCCGATGAGCATATATCAGCAAATTGGATTGTATGAATCATTGTTTTCTGCTTGTAGACCTTTTCTACTCACTGAAACCTACACAGCTAATCTGAGTACTGGTGCTTAGAATATAAATGGCCCGTTCGCAATAAAGCCGCTAGATAGCAGCAGAAGAAACCAAAGCACTCGCACCCAGGAGAGCCTTATGCTCAAGGGACTGCTAAGTTAATGGATTCGAGCATGTCCACAGAGGTGCCCACATGGTGTTGGAGTTGGGGTTGAGGCGCTCAGCTGACCTGGAGATGTGATGTGGCTTGTCTTGCAGGCTCCTTCTGAAGCAGCTCTCCTTCCTCTAGCTTCTGGGGTGGCAGGAGAGGACAGGACACGAGTAACTACAAGGGTAACCAGGCCAGCTCCTCTGGGGAAGAGGGGCTTCTTGCTTCCCATGTGGATTCCTCTGGTCAGTAAGGAGTTGGCATAAGTGGAGCGAAAAGGTCCTCCTTGGAAGGAGCAGCATGGTGTCCAGGTGCTGGTGGCTTTAGGGACAAGTGCCAGGTTGTGCATTTGTCACAACAACCCCATGCAACACTGCAGGCTTGGGGCGGAGTGGCTGGAGAGCTGCCCGGCAGAAAAGGACCTGAGGGTGCTGGCTGACAGCCGGCTGAACATGAGCCAGCAGTGTGCCCAGGTGGTCAAGATGGCCAACAGCATCCTGGCCTGTATCAGAAATAGTGTGGCCAGCAGGAGAAGGGCAGTGATCATGCCCCCGTAGTGGTGAGGCCGCACCTCGAATCCTGTGTTTGGTTTTGGGGCCCTCACTACAAGAAGGACATTGAAGTGCTGGAGTGTGTCCAGAGAAGGGCAACGAAGTTGGTGAGGGGTCTGGAGCACAAGTCATGAGGAGCGGCTGAGGGAGCTGGGGGTATTCAGTCTGGAGAAGAGGAGGCTGAGGGGAGACCTTCTTGCTCCCTACAACTACCTGAAAGGGGGTTGTGGTGAGGTGGGTGTTGGTCTCTTCTCCCAAGTAACTAGCGATAGAACAAGAGGAAATGGCCTCAAGTTGCACCAGGACTGGATATTAGGAAAAATTTCTTTACAGAGAGAGTGGTCAAACATTGGAACAGGCTTCCCAGGGAGGTGGTGGAGTCACCATCACTGGAGGTGTTCAGAAAATGTGTGGACATGGCACTTTGGGACATGGTTTAGTGGGCAGGGTGGTGCTGGGCTGATAGTTGGACTTGGTGGTCTTCCAACCTTAATGATTCTATGATTCTAGGTTTCACAATCTTGTGAGTTTTTGATGCATTTGAGTAACACCAGCAAGACCTGAGATCCTGTGCTTAGCTGGGCTGCTGAGAGAGGTGAGGGCACTGGCAGTGAGCAGAAGCTTATGGCTTTGCATAAGCTCTCAAATCCAGAGCACTTGTGCTCTACGTGAAAGGTTAGGCCTGGGTTGGCTGCCCTATCCAGAGCTGGCCACCATACGGTCTCACTTGCTCTCTCCTCCCTCCCCAGGATCCACGGTTGTTAACTGGTTCCAGATAGTCCTTTTATATAGGGAATTCTTGTTAATGGAAGTCCTGAGTGGGATGCAGATCATAATGATAATTAATGAGGGGAACCTTTAATAGAAGGAAGCAGAGCTGCTAGAGCAGTGGGCGTCCCGCTTTGAGAACGCAGTTGGTGTCCAAAGAGCGGAGAAATGTGTCTTGTCGCACTTATTTCCCTTATTAATCCCAGCAGGTGGCCTGTGCAATGCTGCGAGCCCTTGCTGTAGCGTGGATATTTATAATGCACCCATCTCTGTCGTACTGGAGTGCTTAAACTTGGTGTGTTAATTAGCCCGATGGCTCCCTTTGGGCGCTTGGCTAGCAGAGAGGCAGTTGTCGGGCACAGTCTGTCTGCACAACACTCTCAGCATCTTCTGGGGAGAGGCGGCAGGATTCTGGGGGGGTTGTCTCAGCGTAGCTTGCATCTTCCCTTCCAGGAGAAGCATTTCAGACTGAGCTGGAGGGAGAGAGTTTATTGTAGTTAGGAATTGGTAGCGGTGGTCATGCTCTTTGTGACCTTCCCTATAAATGAGTGGAAGTGACGTTTCCAGCATGCTGGGTTAGATGTCTGATCAAAAGTAGCAGCTATCCATGTCCTTCAAGCTCCTGCCTTGCGGTGTGTCTATATTTGATAGTTTGAAGATGCCCTCAGGCTGCCCTTAAGCCCAGTCTTGTCATCAGTTCAACATGCCATAAGAAACTCTAGGCGTAGCTGAAGCTCTTGGGACCCCACTTGTCTGAGTCTGCCCTGAGAGTCAGTGTAGGAGGGTGCTGTCTGGGGACATCATCACCTGCAGGCAGCTTGTGGGGCAGCGCTGTGGGTAACGGCCTGATCAGAGGATAGGGGATTGTCTGAGGAACGGCTCTCTTCAGGGGAGCAGAGCGCATCAGGTCACCCCCATTTAATGAAGTTCCCCATGTTGATAAGCAGAGAGGAGGCAGCAGTGCAATCCTGTGCTCTAACCCCCACGTAGTGACCCTTCCTCATCCTACAGAAAGCCTTTCTAATGTGTGTGTCTCTTCACTTTCCCTGACCCCTTTTTCCTAGATGGAACGGCAGCGCCTGGCCCGAGAGAAGCAAATGAGAGAAGAGGCTGAGAGGACAAGGGATGAGCTGGAGAGAAGATTGATGCAGTTAAAGGAAGAGGCAACGATGGCCAATGAAGCTCTGGTAGGTCTCTGGGAGCTTGTTTCCCGAGGCACTGCAGCTGTTCCTCACTCTTTACACTGCTGAAGCGTTTTAGGAGACACACTGTGACTGTCCTATGGCTATTCTCAAACTGCTGCTGGTGGACGGTGATCAGGAGGCTGGATGGAGTTGATTTCATCCTGCTAGCCTGCTGTGGCAGGAGCACAAAGGAGGATGATTTGGGTTGGAGCCTGGGCACATCCAGGTCTTGGCTGCAGAAGGCTGCAGGCTTTGATGGAAGGGAGGGACTCTACGGGCCATAGTGGCCGTGCGGAGTGAGCAGTCCAGGGCCCGGCTCCGGGGGTTGCAAGCACATTCAGGGAGACATTCAGTGCGCCTGATGGCTTGATGTGCCTTAATTCTCAGATGAGGTCTGAAGAGACAGCAGACTTGCTGGCTGAGAAGGCTCAGATCACGGAGGAGGAGGCCAAGCTCCTGGCTCAGAAAGCAGCTGAGGCTGAACAGGAGATGCAGCGAATCAAAGCCACGGCCATCCGGACGGAGGAGGAGAAGCGGCTGATGGAACAGAAGGTGCTAGAAGCAGAGATGTTGGCACTGAAAATGGCGGAGGAGTCGGAGAGGAGGTCAGAGGGTACAACCTTGCAGCTGCTTCTGCTTTACTTTCCAACCCCCTTCTGACTTAGCTGAAATGGTGGCTCATGCCTTGAGTTAGTCCATCCAGCGGTTTGCAGTGAGCCCTTGGCCTCCCGTGCAGGTACAACTGCAAATGGCCCCAGGGCTCAGCTGGGTTCTCTCTCCATCTCGCTGTTTGCCACAGCTGGGCTGTCCCTGAGTGGGACATGGTGCTGGTAGTGGTGGCCCTGATCTTTCCCTGGATGGGAGCTGGAGACCCTTCTCTGAAGCTTTCTTTGGGAGAGATACTGTGGTGAAAGCAGCAGGGAAGGGGGCCGTCAGCTGGTGAGGGAGAAGGTGCCATGGTCCCTGGCACTCTGCCTTCCATGCATCTCACGCCCTGGCAGCAGCAGCAGAAGTCAGCTCTACTTTTGGGTGATCTCTGCAAACACCCACTGCATTCCCCAAAGTACTTGACAACATCAATAACGCTTGGTTTGTTTTATTTATTTCTGGATGGTAGGTCTACATTCCCTATTCTCTCTTTATTCCTTTATTTACCTCTCAGTTGTTTTAGTTCTCCTTACCAGTTGTGAGGTCTCTGTTTCACGTTAGCCCTGAGGTTCCCTTAGCTCCTGCAGTCCTTGCTTCTTGTTAAAACTGGTGTTTCCATCCTCTTGATACCAGAGCCCAGGTCCCACAGTGCATTTGGTAGTGAGCAAGTAAAAGATCATTCTTGTTTCCTTCCAACTGATTACTCCTTTCCCTGTGAGAGCTTGCTCGGTGTCAGCCTTTCTGCTTGGATGAACGCTGCCCTTGTCTATCTCTTCTTGCTTTGGTCTCTATCTTGCGAAGTATCCACTCAAATTTCAGTCTGGCAGAGAAAGTGTCCTTCCCTCCTTTAGCTTCCTCCTTGTGCGGGGCCCTTGAGCCTCAAGGGTAAATACTAGTTCTAGAATTGTTAGGCCCCACGAGTAGGCAAAGCTTTGCAACCTTGGGTGCTTTTTCCTTTTTGAATGTAGTAAATAATCGTTAGTAGAGGCTTACTTATCAGAAAACTGCCTCTCCTGGTGTAAGTCCAAGCTTAACTTCTGAAATTGTTCTCCCCATTCTGGCATCTTGGCACGCTTGTCCCGCCCTTAGCCTTGCTCGTTGATGCTCACGCAGAGCCCGTGTCAGAGCTGCCCTTCTGTGGCTTGGGTTTTTGGGCTAATTAAAATGTCCCACCTATCAATGGTTCTGGCATTTCCCTTGCTCAGATGATTTCTTAGTTTAGGGCTTTTTGTGGGACAAATCTCAATCTGTTCCATACCTACACTATAATCCTGCTTCTCCATCTTCTCATTCCTCTCAACTTCAATCTGATGTTTGCCATTTGCTATTTTTCTTTGTAGGGCGAAGGAGGCTGATCAGCTAAAGCAAGACCTTCAGGAGGCTCGCGAGTCTGAGCGGAGAGCAAAGCAGAAGCTTTTGGAGATCACCAGCAAGTCATCCTACACAGTAAGAGTGATCTGTGTTGTAGTTCCCAGTTCCCAGCCCCTAAATGTGCCCTCCTCTGTAGCCTGGAGGAGTCTTGTCTCTCCATCCCGTTGGTGGAGGGGTGTGAGCTGTCTTATTGCATTGCTTAGCAGCTGTTCAGCAACCCTCAGCAGCCCTTGCCCTTTTCATCCAGGCACCTCATCCAGCAGAAGATGACTTTGCTCTTTTTTTTTTTTTTTTTTTCCCCCGCACCCCACCAATCCTGCCTCATGCTACAAGAGCAAGTGAGCTGCTGGTGAAATCAGAGGCAGCAAATTTTAAACCAGTTTAACAAACGTGTCAGAGCCGTGCTTTGCTAGCCCGTGTGGAGTGTACGAGCTCAGCAACAGCCTTTAAAATAGGGTTAAATGCTTAGAAATGGAGGATGTCCTTGTTAGGTAGGATAAACATTGTTTGCAACCTCTAAATTCGTTCTTTGGGCATAAACTTGTCACTGTGCGTCTACGTGCTGGAAAAAAACTTCCTTGAAGGGAGATTATTCCATAATTGCCCATTAAGAGGATTTCACACCTTCCTCTGAAGCATCTGGTCCCGGTTGCTGCTGGGGACTGAAACGCCAGACTGAATGACCATTGTTCCGATCTGTCTGGCAGTTCTTTTCCTCAACTTCTCTAATTGTGCTTCAGGGCCTGCAAAACCCATCAAGTGCTCCCCTGCCCGCAGCTCACACCTGCCGCGGCTGCCGGTTCGGCTGCCTGGCTGTCCTGGGGGGTGAAGAGCTCAACAGCTTCAGGAATAGACTCAACAGACATATGTGGGAGTTACAGACCTATCTAGCACTGAAGTTTTAATTTGTACCTGCAGGCTCCTTCCCCACTCCTCTGCAAACTTTTGAAGAGGGCTTGAGATGAAGTAACTTTTCATCCTGATTCTTGGAAGTTCCCCGCAAAAATGTTCAGAAGCCTTTAAAAATGGCAGTGATGGAAAACAGTCAGGTGCTATGAGCCCTGAGACACTTAGTCAAGTGCTAGCTACCTCAGTGCTTTATAAAACAGCTTTGGAGGGCTCCTTGTTTTACAAGCGCTAGGTTTCTGGGATCCACCAGTTCTTTAATTCTAGTCTAACTTACGCACAGGGTGTAGTGTCCTCACTGAAGCTCTGCTGCATCAGTGTTGATGTTTGGGCAGTTCTTACGCGTCCGTGTTCCCTCATGTTGCTGTGTCCACCCTCAGTCAAATGGGCAGAACTCCAGCTAGCGAGCCCTTCTGCATGAATCCCCGTGCCTGCGCTGGTGAGCAGCCGCGTGGCTGCGTTCCTGCCTGCGGAGTTGAAGCCTCCTTAGTGGGAATGTTGTAGGATTGCGCGGAGCTCGGCTCCACCCCTCCGGCTGCATCTGCCTGGAGGCAATCCACGCAGAACTGCCTCATCCGGACACATGGTGCTGCGTCCTGTCCCTTCCCTAAAGTGCCTTGGCCTTCCTTACGTGCCTGCGGATGCCAGGAGGGAAGGGGACATGCTTTTTTCCTCCCCAGTTAGGTGTCAGGGTCCCCTCGCGCAGCTGCTGCTCCTCCTGCCCCTCTTGTAGCCCTGGGAGGAACGCCACGTCGCACGGACTCAACGGCTATTGTTTTCCAAGGTCAGGAGGATGCCAGTGTGACTGTTGTGCCCATATCCAGGCGACAAGACCTTGCTGGGCTCTTCCATCCCCTGTTAGTCCTGCCTTGCTTCTCCCTTCCTCTGTGGCCTCTCTCATCGCTCTGCTGCCTGTGCGTTTGCGGGCAGACAAGTGAGATGTGCCGAGATCCTGTTCCTGCGCGCCACTTCAAAGAGCTGGATTCGTGTGAGCCTTCCTCCCCGGCAAGCGCAGCCCAAGGGAGGGAACGAGCCCAGGGTGGCCTGAGGGATGAAGCAGTTTTGAAAGCTGCTGTTGGGAGGCTCGTGTCCCTCAGGTGAATGGCAACTTTGCCAAACGGTGCAGGATTCCAGCTCCTCTCTTTCTTAATGAGGGTGTAAGCTGAGCTTGTTCTTGTCTGTGGTCCCAGGACTTGTGCTGTGTCGTCCCCCGGCACTGAGAGATAGGCAGGACTTCCCTCTGGGGGAGCATGAGCAGGAGAGGAAGGGGAGAGTGGATGGACGTGTTGCAGAAAAGGCAAGATACAGTTAATTTTATTTTTTTGGTAACTTTCCAGTCTCACATCCTGGTTCTTTAAAGCTTGTTTCAGTGTCTTTTTAGTCCTTGAAGCCCAGGCTGCTTTTGTGATGGGACTGGTAGGTGATGCATGAGAAGAACGATGTGAATCTGAGTCTCAGGCCGTCAGGGCTGGGAGAACAATTCATTCTTTACTGGCTTGGCAACGGCTCTTTGCCTCCTTCATTGCCCTTCAGGTACCACTCGTGGCAAGACTAAAAGCAGTCATCTCTTCTCTGACCCTCTTGAAGTAGCTGTCTTGGGCTTGCCCAAATTCTCGACTAAAGGCCGAGGCAGCAACAGGAGGAGCTCTCCCTGCGGGGGAAGCCTCATGACATGACGTGCTCTGTGCTTCCTCCGTATCGTCTGTCTTGCCCGCTCTGTGCTCCAGAGGGATGACCACTGTCAGCGTGGTGCTTGCCTCTGCGAACCGCAGGAAATTGCTTTAATGCAGCAACAGGATTATGCAGCTTGTTCCGGGTGAGGAAGCACG